AAGCAGCTTTCTGTGGCCGATAAGTCTGCTCAAGCATGACTCGTCCCCAGATGCCCGAAGCCGGAGGTTCGGGTTCTGATCGTGACTGAATTTTGGTTGGCTGTGCGACTTCAGAAAACAGACACTCAGCTCCTTTTGCCCTCTTGCTTCACGCTGTGTTTCAAATGCTTGGCTTTTTTTTAGCCCTCGCGCACGCCGACCGAGCCTTTCCCTCTGCAAACCCCCCTCCATCCCATTTCTCCTGCTCCTGCGAGGGCACTGGCATCTGCTGCGGGTCGAATCCGGAGGAGTCAAGTCAATCTTTGTGTCGGTTTTAAATGCTTCGTTCATCCGAGACAGGCAGATCAGAAGCCGAGGAGTATGCCCGAAGTCGGCCAGCACCGGAACATCACCGGATTGCAGCAGAATATTCTCCGTCTTAACATCCCTGTGCACCTCGTACGAAGAATCGTTGCTCAGCAAAAGACGCATCCGCGCAACGGACCCTCTCTTTGAGGTGAAGGCAATGTTGTGGTCATGGATCCTTTTCAATCCTCGAAGGATTCCTAAGCAGAGCGGTTGCACCCAAGACGCGACCACAGAACTGCGTCCAGCCCTTCACGCACCACGAATTCAATGCAAGCTGCCCTTGAACAATGGTCTGGCAGATGCTTCTGTCATCCCACCCAAATGAAGCACCTGAGCCAAATCGAGTCGTGAACAGAACTGTGGTAGATCCGCACCGTCTGCGCTCTGTTCAGATCTGCCGCCTTGTACAGCAAGTCGCCACCCAATGCCAGGTCAAAAACACTGGAGAATCGAACTTGCTCCTCGGTGTCGTGACGTGGTGAGGGGTCCAGCAGTTGGACAAGCATTATTCGAGCAGGCTGTCCGTCTCTACTTTCCAGAAAATTCCACGGAAGCCGATGATGTGGTCACCCCGCAGCTCGGCGAGAGCAGCAACCTGGCCGTTCGGGATCAAGTAAACCACTGGGGACCACCACCTAGACTCTAGGGTGTGCATAGACTTTTGGTTTCATAGCACAGGGTTTGCTTGCGGTTTGTTTGCAGCAGGATACGAGGCAGCTTGGATGCGAAGGCAATTGGCCAGACATGGTCACCGGTACGCTCGCACGTGTACTTGGTTGGAGCCCATGCTTACTCTACTGCACTTAACCTGAAGAAAGCATGCAAAATCGAAGACGGAAAAGTCGAAAGAATAAAGCATCAAGCTTGATCTGAGATGAGCTTGTCTCTAGCTATCGAATATCGGGCCTCTCGCTCAATGGACTCCAGGTCGGTGGTGTGATGCATCTGCTTCACCTACAGGTCCGTCGCACTCGCAAGTCGCATCAGGCCAACGCAGGCTATGTTGCTCGCGCGAAGATGCAGCCCGGGAGCTGCCACATCGTGCCCTGCCGCTGCCTCAACTTGCAGAACCCTCCGGGGCTCCGCTCTTGTGCGAGCTCGTGACAGGATTTACACGAACTGTCGACGATATTGAGAATCATAAGCGGGAGCAAGAGCAGGAGAAGGGGGCGAGGAGGAGGAGGAAAACACACGCAGGAGGATGAGGAGGATGATGGCGACTATGACGATGATACTGATGCTGATGCTGATGATGATGAGGATGATGATGACTATGATGACTAAGATGACTATGATGATGATGACGACTATGATGATGATGACTACGATGATGATGATGATGATGACTACGATGATGATGGTGATGGTTGTTGCTATTCTGGTTGCTAATTATTATGATGAGTATGATGACAGTGCCGACATCCGTGATCACGATGAAGAAAACGTCCGAGATGAAAGCGTTCGTCACAACGACGGGATCTGGTTTCGAATGGGCGGAGGATAAATACTGCTGTGGTAATGCAAGAACTTCCGTTCTTTTGACCGTCTGCCTTTTTTCGTGTAGGCCTTCCCGAAAAAGCCTGACATTCGGCCCTCTGCACCTGACCTCCTCAAGGCATGTCTCAAGATCGGGCAAATCTCGCTTTCGCGACTGTCCGCAGCATGACTGTTCGTGTGGTTGACTGTTCGCAGCACTAGTATATTATTGCTTGGATCAGACTGCACTCGATGTCTATTCAGATTGCCATCGGTGCTGTGAGGCTTTCTGCTGCGAAGCAAACGGAGCAATGCGGCATTCTTGCTCTCATTTCCATCGCCTATACATGCGTAGTGTCTATGTCACGTTGACTTTGTCCATTGTCGGACTGCATGTACCCGATTGTATCCAACGGCACGTTTTTCACACTGTGCTCTGTCGTGGTGCACGCAGCATCTGCGACCTTCTGCGAGGTTTGGGACGGAGCGAGAGAGCGAGAGAGAGAGAGACACAGAGACAGAGACCGAGGGAGGGCGAGAGAGAGAGAAGGCCTCATACCGTGCTCTGCCGAGAGCAACATGGGTAAAGAGATGAATGCCAGCGCTTGGCTTGCCCCTGTCACCCTGACAAAGCTGTGGCAAGCGCTCTACTTCGGATCTTGTTCCAGTAGCTGCACGTAGCTGCACCCTTTATGCCAAAGGACTCGGGTTTTGGATGAAAGCTGCCCCTCTGGGGATGTGGGAGTGCTGCAGCATGCGCACGGTATTGCTCGTGGGGCTTACATCACAGACTCTGTAGACTGTCCACCCCCGGCTCGGTTCAGGGAACCGTGGCTGACAAGAAAGCGGTGTAAGCTCAGAGCCCGCATTTGATACACCGTAGCATACCTGACGCTGTGCAAGAACTCCGAGACGGAGCCAACAAAAGCATACAAATGTTTGAGAACTGGAAACCAAAAACCTTCATATATTCGACTCCGCAGGCGAGATGCGCTCCCTCTCCAATGGCACAATCACCGTCATGCGCCATCGTGAAGGATGCATCAAGGTCTGTCCGGAGACAACCACATGCACCTGGGCTGTGACAGTTGCTGCTCGCAGGCCTGTCGTTTGTTTGTCCTGCACATCACGAGGCCGCCACTGAGCATGTCAACAAAGCTGTGGGGTGTGCAACCCTGCACGCAGATAAACCAGCCTCGCCGTCATGGGCGATGTATGCAGGCCGAAACACAGGTCGCAGCTACAGCAGGAACTGTGCGCGGGTAAATCTGTTTACCATCTTCAATCTAGTCAAAAGACCATGCACCCTCGCTCCTCGCTATTTGATCACCCCTTTCATCTCGCTTTGGCCTTCAGCAGTGGACGTCAATCCTGTCACAGAGGTACCGCGGATACCAGAGCCAGGCCTCGGATGATTTGCATTTACACCAGCTGAAGCCCTCACAGCCTAGCGGCTTAGCTTCGCTCCGCTTGAAATGACGGGCTTGGGTGAGGAAGGTGAAACGGAAAGCCACCTGCATGATGATCACCACCACTTTGCTCTAGGCTAGAAGAAACACGTGACCACTTTGCTGTCGGGGTACGCCGGAGGAACGACCGCTACCAACGTCATGTCGGCATGGGTGCCCTTGGCAGGACGAGCACAAAGACGCATTTCAAGGGTTTCGTGTGCCGGCAGCAATCACCCAGTAACAAAGACCTTAAAGCTCACCTGCCCTGTCGGCTTATCGCGTGCAAGATCAGCGAATACAGAGGTCCTGGCGCGGCTGTAGTTACATCGTAGTTTACTTGTCAGCATCACGAAGTCTGACGAAATCTTGCCAAGCTGCACTTTTAACTGGACACCAGCTCACTTCAGACATCAGAAGGCTTTCAACCTTCAGGTCAAGACTGACAGCTGCTCTGTCTACCCCAATTGTCCTGAAGGACGCATCAAATTCGAGACTTGCACCACTGTCACTGGCTCTTGAGAGGAGTCTTCTACCTCAGTGGGATAGATTTCGCTTCGAAGCGCTTGCCGCGACTGCCCCCCGCAGGGAGGAGCTCTGAGAGTCGTACGACCAAGGACAAGCCATCTACGTTGCATCGCAGCGACGTTTGCTCCCCACTCTCCTGGTGAGCAGACTCAGGAATACGCAAGGCCATGTATCATATCATGTTATCGCGTCAATGGGCGACTTCGTATAGTTTCGTGTCGCTTGCACCAGCTCTGCGGTGGGAAAAGGCAGCTCATTGCGGCAGCAAGTGTCCGAGAAGTCCATCACCGCCACAAAAGCTTCTGCCGGGGATGCGAACCCAGCTCCTTGGAGCTCACGCGCAAAGTAATGGGCAGATTTGGGAAGAGCGCAGCTCAGTCAGGCGCACAAGTTCGTTTAAACCGGGGAGCTGTTGACCGTTGCCGGTTTCAGCGCTCGGGCATCTTGCCCATGGCAGCTGTGGAACCAAAAGACCGGGCTAGGGGAGGATGATGAAGAAGATGGGAACATGCCTCAGTAAGTTTTCGAATCACACGCCAAAGAAATAAAGACATGCACATAAGTGCTCCCAGTGGCTGCCGTCCTTCTCTTCCATCTATGCATTCACACATTCGCATCCGCAACCTGAACAACCAGGGGCCACAAAACCGTTGCGGGGAACCCGATCAGGCGACGAAGAAAGCCGTGCTCAGCCTCGACTCAAGTCTTTCCTCGCGCCTTTATGCAGCTTGTTCGTGATTCTAGCGAGGTTCGTTTCGAAAGCTATCTCAGGACACCTTCACGTTGCTAGAGCTTAACTCACAGTTCCCGATTTGTTGCCGGGCGCGCCTTCTGTGAGCTTGAAGGCGCGAGAGCAGCTGCCACAGGCATGTCTGAAAACATGCACACGTGGACTTGAGCCGGACACATCCACACACACATCCAAGGAGCACTCCGTGTGGCAAAGGGCCAGCTCCACGAGCAGGGAAACGGCTTCTCCAAGCCCTCAAAAGGGGGCCGTTTTTCTTCTCCACATCAGATGCTCGCCTAAGGCTCTTGCCTGCTACACTCTGTGAGTAGGACAAGGGGCATAGAGGCGCCTAGGGCCTAATGTGGCTGCAGAGTGAAGCCCCACATTGGAAGCTTAGATAGGGTCTCCCTGATGGGAGCCTCGGAAACTACCGATCAATGCTGATTGAACTACGAATGTGAAACTCTTGTTCAGGTGTTGAAGAAGGGAATGTTCGTGATGGGGCGTCCACAGCGCTTTGCAATGCCTCAGTGGCAGCAGCTGAACCCTGACATCTCGTGAGCAATTACGAGGGAGCAATGAGCGTCTGACCATTTATCATGTCGCGTACCCTGGTCAGGGACGAGGCGCTTGCTTCCAAAGCCAAAATTATGAAAGACCAGACTAGCCAAGCTTCTGGTAGAGTCTCCAATCTGTCTTCTGGTCGTGGATGACCCACTTGGGAACCTGTGCCAGACTCAACGTAGCTCCTACTCAGCAGAGATTCACCAAAAGAGGTCCCAGCACAGGTCCGACTCAGCAATCGCAGCGCAGAGAACTGGACATGACCTGGGACCGGGTCTGCCGGGATGCAGTCGCCAACGGCCACTTGTCGAGACTCAATGCGACCATGACGCAGGATTTCAACATGTGCTCATGCCCTTGATCACCACAGGCTGCGTCACACCTTGGCTCTGTGCAAATCCGAACGACACTGACGCACCCTGTATGCCCTATCCCGGTGCTACAGAGCGACGGATTTGGGAGTGGCCCATAGGCTTGGCCAGTCAAGCCTGACATTCACAGGCCAGCCCTTTCAAGAGCACTCCTCCGAAACTAGCTTCCGCAATCTTCTTCGCTGCATTCTTGACATGAGGCAGGCTTGGATGCCCATGCAGGTGCCGCGCACAGGGTCCTCGCCGAAGGTTGTTTGAAGCTTCCACAACACAGAAAACTACATGTCTACGAGATGTCGACCCGAAGTCAAGGCTAAAAGCGCAAGCTCTTGCCACTGTCCTTCGCCAGTTCCCGGCACGTCGTATCCAAACCATAAATGGCATCGAAGCACTTGCCCTGCGCACCAAACGCTGTTACAAGTTCACATGCAATCCAGCTCGAAGCTCGAGTGCACACAGAAGACTACTGAACAACAAACACATCAGCGCGTTCCCTGTGAACTCTACATCTCTGGCTTCGTCTTGGTCCCTGCCTCTGCCCCCTTCTTGGCATTCCTAAGATGATTCAACAGTTGGTTATGAAGCACAGAGAGTGCGCCGATTGATTCCCCAAAATCGAACTCAAGCATGAAATGGCAGAGAAATCGTCCGAGGCTCTGCACACAATCGAAAAGGGTCTGGTTGAAGACCTGCCATGGAACACTCTCGTCAGTAGCTAAGGACGCCTTGAAGCGAATCAGTTGCACCGTGTCATAGTTCGCATCACCAGAATTCAGAGCTACGCCACCTGGGCACAGGGTGTGTCAAGCTGGCACTTCTGTGCAACGCACAAGGGAGCCACGAAAATCGCCGCTGCTCCTCATCGATATGACATCTCGAGCATCGTGACTGGTCCTTCGACTATACGCGACATGTGCTCCATCTCTTCTCGCCCTCGCATGAATCGAGCCTGATGCCTTGCCATCGCCGTCGCAGGACAAGTGCTCCCACGATAACTAGAAGACCTGTCAGGTTCGGACAGGAAGCCGTGGGAACTTTCAGATCTCCCCTTCCGGGGCCACCTCGCAAAAAAACATCTCTTTACATGTGCGTTCACACGGTCAGCTACACGTGAACAAAACTTCCTGGTCTAGCACTGCAAAATACAACTTGGCAAATGACTACACTTTTGCCATCCTTCCGTGCAACCGAGCTCATGATCCGACGCTTGAGCATAGAGCAGCGCCTAAAGCAACTCGTCGAATCCAAGGGTGAGAGCAGACCGGCCAGTCCTGGACGAAGGCTTCAACGTTGCAAGCTGAAGCAAGAGTTGCAGGCTGAGGCAACACCCCATCTGACTTGCTGGCCTTGTGCTGAGACATTGGGTCACTGAGCATTTCGAGATCGTCATGCTGTTCAACCTGTCCCAGAAAAATTCCATGCAAAGCTCAACAACAGCATCCCAGGCGCATGGGCCGAATGGCGCCTTCAGCAAACGGATCTCTCCTGAAGATGAGCTTACGAACTTCGAAGATGATCGACGGCCGCTGTACGCAGTGCAAACCGCGGCTGTTGTCCTTCTGCGCTCTGCCTTGTGCAAGTCGCAAGTATGGCATCATGTAAAGCCTATGGCCTACCGTAGGTCGTAGGCATCCAGATCCTGCACGTCAAAGCTCTGAGGACGTGGCGACATCGTGCAAGCTTCAAGGCCCAGCACTGAGCCATGCTTGGGGACGTGAGAGAAGTGGCCGTGTGCCAAGTCGTAGTATAGGAGTCCAAGTGCAACAACCCGCTTTGCCACGCACGTCGATCACCGTCAGCTTTTCAGGCCACGCATAGTCGAAAGCACTCCATGCACTCGGCAGGCGTCCATTAAGGACTTGCCTCTACGCAGACATGCAAGCAACAAACGACACATACATGCTCCTAGTCCTAGACCTTGTAAACCACAAGCGTGTGCAAGATATTGCTAGGGTGCCAATTCGGCACGTGAAACGAACATGAGGTCGATCATGAGCTGCAAAAGCTAGTTAAGGCGACAGGCTGGCACGAACATACAGCCGTCTTTCTATGTTCATCAGAAATGGTTCCAATGTTGGAGATGTGATGAGATGTGCTGCGCTGGAGTGGATGAACCGAAAAAGGTCGGGCTATATTCGTGCCGACAGGTCGACAAAGATTCGGCTGACTGAGACGATGACGATCAGCAGGAGCCTCGCCGGCAATTGACGAAGTCCGTACGGGAATCTACGGAGGGGCCGAGGCTCTAGGACTCTAGGACGACCCTGGGACTCTACAGTGCTCGCATTGGGCATGTGCTCACCCTTTCGTGGCCCCGACGAGAATCGCGCACCGTGGCCAGCAGCATTCGTTCGAGCTTGTGCCTTGCAGAAGCAGGAATACTCCGCTCTCAGAACTTCCAAGACCTGACTTTGGCAGATGCCAAGCTCCAGGCTGCGACGTTTATATCGAACGGAGATGCTTGGCCCTCGTAGTAACCTTTGAAGAACCCATGCTTTAGACAAGGTTGCCTCAGCACCACACACGTCAGGCCTGTCATTACGTGGACAAACTCCATGGTGATGTCTTTCATCGCAAAGATGGACCAGGTGTTGTCGTGCGGGTAGACGGCTGAAAGAAATATATGAATCAGCTGTACGCAAGAAGGCTACGGCCAAACTTTGTCAAATCTCAGTTGCTGACTTGGATTGCTCACCTCGAAGCGAATATTGTAAGTACCAACTTCCTGAGGCAGTCCAGGCATTTTGAGCAATCTTGGTACTCACATCGCTGGGCTTGGGGCCACCAGCGCCATCTCATCCAGGTAAAGGGACCTGACTATCAGAGGCTTTCCCCAGCCCTCGTCCACTTCGACATCTTGCACTTGCTGCTCAGTCGCAGAAGATCGCCAGCTACTTGTGTGGGGATCGCCAGTCGCAATGGAAGCGGCTTCGGCAACACAGTCACCTTTCTGGACGAGGTCTGATGAACTGCAAAGTCTGGAACTCAGCGTTTCCAGAGGTATTTTTGTGTTGGACTTCCGGCCGTGCTTCTTCCTATTCGCTCAGACACACAGAACAGGAAACCCCCCTCTTCCATGCCTTGCACGAGTGTTCGAACGTGCAGTGATACACGAGTGCAACACATCGATTGGCTCGAGCTTCTTGCCTCTGCCGATTCTGCCAGCGGCAGGTGTGCCGCGGCGCATTGTTCAGATTTAGGGAGACCGGGACACTGTGTTTCAAGCCGCCTTGCCCACTGCGCGCCCCTCTCCCCTCATGTAGCAATTCATCGCTTGCTTTGGGCTGCTTCACAGAATTTGTTGTTGTGACTGCTGTCCCACTAGCTGTGCTTCGTGCTCTAGAGCTGGCTGAGCAAGTCGGTGAAAATGCTGAAAGGATTTCACCAACATCCACTTAGGTGGGATCCAGTCCGCTTTTGTCGTTGCTCTGCCTGAATGTGCATAGGAAAGGCCAGCGGTAATCGAGGTCCCTCCGCGCAAGCCACTCGAGCGCCAGAATCGAACGAGGGCAAGCGCAGTCAGCATGCCGGAATGTGCAAACTTCGTAGGGGCCACGTTGACCCCTGCGCGCTTGCTCTTCGGGAACTCTCGCTGTTTCAGTTCTGCCGTCCTGGAAGGCCTTCACAGAGACTCTCCGGTAACGTATGTAAAGATCCACATGTCCACAACGTTTTGCATTGAAACTCACGAGTCCAGGCCAGGTTGTAAGAAGTCCCTCAAGGTGTCAGAATCAACCAGAAGGCACGGAAACATGAAGCACTGGCCTTCGCTGGATCTTCATTGAACATGATGCCCTCCGGCCTGGTCAAGTCCGAGCCCCCTTCTGCCGTATACCGCAGGTTTGCTGAAACCTCCCTGAGGCAGCCACGCTCGCACCGTGAATCTCTGTAGCGTTCCTGCAGGGATCTCGTGGAGCACTCGAATCTGGATCAGCACCTTGACAACGAAGACGTGGACGATTGACAGTAATGCGAGGCTACTGGTGATAGCATGGTCCATGTGATCAGCTCGGCTGCCAACGTACGCCAACACCCGGGGGTCAGAATTTGTCCAACCTTGAATGCAGTTCTGGATCTCTGCGCAGCATTGTACAGCGACTGGAAACCATCAGCCGCACGTGCTGCACATCTCAGCTGCTAACCAAGTCCATTGCACCGAATCGGAATGGACTTGAGGTCCAGCCCGGGAATTCGAAGATTTGCATCGAAGGTGTCCCTGCTGTGGTCCTTCAAGAGTCATGACTTGCTCATGACTTCTCTTGTAGGATGACAGGGTGTGGGTGCTTGCTGGGGCTTGTGTTATGGCACCATCATGCTCTCTGTTGCATCACTTACCCCTTTCGTCCCTTTCTTGGCTTCCTGAAGATTTCGTTCCTTTATTGGCTTCCTGAACAATTTGCAACCTGGATCCGGGTCACGTAGCAGGTCACGTTTCACGGCTCAAAGCTGAAAGCAACGTACACCACCCGCAGGACCCGAGTCTGTGAGCCACTTGCATCAGATGTCATTTGCATTTGAGGGAGGGTGGCTGGTGAATTTTGGCAGTTGTTACAAAAAGTGGAGCCACAGACTGCTTTGTTCCCAGTTTCATATGCGCAGTATCGCCAACTCCTGGCCCAAGTGGGGAAGCACTTGGGGCTGGAAGTTCATTTTACTCCGCATTCTCCCCGCGCAGGTTTTGCGACTGAGGAATATTCCAGGGATTGCCACGTCGCGGACAGTCGACAAAGGGGACGGTGGGCATCCGAACAGTCGTTCAAAACCTACCTCGACGTCGTCCGGACGACCAGCTACAGCCAGCCAGAGGACCGGACTACTGCCGTCATGCTGCTCAAAGGATGCTTCTGGCGCCGGCGCTTATGCCAGAACATAAAGCCGCTGGTACAATGAACGTAGGGTGCGAAAAAAGTGCAAACCCGAGTGCAGATGGAATGCTGTGCGGGTGGAACATGGCGGCGCATCCATCAATGTGGCCTAAGCTCAAAGAGTTGCGCTCCACTGATCAGTCGACTTAACGGCATCACTTCACTTTACCGCTCTGACCGCGCTGGCTTCCCAAAAGATAGCTCAGAGCCCTTGGCTTATCCGAGTGGGGAGTGGCGGCCCGATCAAGTCTTCCCCGACACAACCAGAAATGACTGACCTCTCCGACCAGTGCTTTAGATAGCTTCTGTTCATCTATGCTGTTCCAAGATCGGATACTAGAAGACTGCAGAAGACTAGTTGTGACGGACAGGCAAACTAGACTTGAGAAAAGAGCCACGAATGAAAGCTAGAGCAAGCAACCTAAGCAGAGTTGATAGAGCTCGTGCGGCATTGCACACATGCTCGGCAGGGTGGGCTCAAGCACGTAAATGCACTCCGGCCACTTAAAGACAGAGGCAAGTCCCGTGGTGCTCGAATGTGCCAAGTCGACACCCGGAACATGCGTACACCCCCGACCCACTTGCCATGGTGCGTGGTAGATTCCTGGCAGGTCGACGCTCTAAGGGTTCCTGCGCAAAAAAACATGAAGAAGTCAAGCAGCGTCAATGAACTGCACAATCGTAATGCCGCAATCCCTGCAATTGTCATGTTGATCCACGCTGCTTGAACAGATTGACTTTCAGGCCGAGGACGGGGCCTGGAGGGGGGAGTGGAGCCCGCCCTCAAGCTTTGAATGAATCATTTGCATGATGGCGGGGGCGGGGGAGCCCCTCCGCCGATAAAGTCGTGGAAATGGCAAACGACAACTCCCGCAGGCTCCACAGAGCTAGCTTTCGTGATTTGAAGAAGTGGATTCTTAGTTGTGCCGCAAAAAGCCGGATTCTGAAGGCCGAGAACCCAAGAAAAGATGATTGTGACCGTCCTGCAAGGAGATGCCCCAGTAGTTTGTCGCCCTCAGCACGCGACACAGTGCCATGCGCAGGCACTTGGCGTAGTGCTAAGCCAAGCTTGCATCTTGGGCTGCTGCTCTGGCGGACGTCCACCAGGGTTCAAGACCCGAACACCAACGGTGTAAGCCTTCCAATTCCCACAGGTTCCGTTCTCGAGAGTTTAAAACTTGTTTTTTCAACCAAGGCCTTGCCCGCGTCAAGACTAGCGTTCGAGAAACGAAGCGTCAGAGGATCGTTCTCTGCACCGGACCTTCCCATCTCTGCGCTGCTCTCGGACAAGGCCCGAAGCTAGCATGCCATAGCTTCTGCAGCGTTTCAAACCTTGTTGACTGAATGTGCACAGTCGCCTTTTTGCCTTCTGTCGTTCTGCCCTTCGGTCGCAAGTGAAACTTCGAGGTTGCGTTTACGCAGGCTACATCCTGCGCATCGGCTTAAGCAGCGCCCTGCAGGTCGGAAAGGCAACTCTGCAGGCAATCCAGTCGAAAACTCGAAACATTCTCTCCGTCTGGTGTTTCTCCCGGCCTGCACAGCCCACAGGAACAGCAGAAGGGCAATCGTTCCTGCCACGAAACTCGGCATCAAGGAAGCTGTTCTTTCTGTCTGCAGGCATTGCAACGAGGGCAGGCGCCTCCAGATGACTTCGCAGAGCCTTTCTCTGAAGATCCACCTTCAACGATGACCCTCCCTGTCAGCTACGACCCAACTACGGGGCCTCTTTGCTACCGAGAACAGGCCCTGTCAACAGTAGGCGGCAACGTAAATTAACGTCAGCACTGCATGCTACTGGTCTTCCGCCATCATGCCATTGCCTCCTTCATCGCTTTCGCGGTCACTTTGATTGGTCGCATCTCCTTCCTCCCCTGGTTCCTGCGCGTTGCATCCGAATCACGGAGCCCACCGACAGATGCCTTGGCCTCGGCTCGCGCCTGCTGGGATGCGCCACCGTTCTTCTCTTTTTCACTTTGGCAGACGCGGAGCTCTTTGCTCCAAGACCAACCAGCATTGCAGCAGCACCTTGGCTCACTGCTCACTGCCGGGATGCGGGTTCGGTCAGTTGGTGCAACTGCGGCCGAGAGGCCCAGGTCCACCTGGGCCAGATCGAGAGATTCTAAAGCACCCTGAGGAAAGCTGGGGTTTGTCCAAGGCCCTGACATGGATGACTTCGCTTGGCATTGCAGATTCCCTGCTTTACCCTCTTTTCCCAAAGCTGTGAAGCCGGGATCCTGTCAGAAGCTGCAAAGAAGGGAAGAGGGCTCTCGTGCGCCATCAACACTACTCCATGGCAGCAAGTTCGACTCGTACAAGTCCCCAGGCATGGAACCCAAAACAATAGGATGAGAGTCACAAACAAGAGCAGGATCTTGGACATCGGAGGAGCAAGCGACGGCAAGAGAATCTGCAGGCTAACAGTTTTGCGACAGAGCCTGCGTCTGGGCTAGAGCTGCAGAACAAGGACCCGGCAACAGCAGGGTACACAAACCTGTCTCAGCGCTGGTCTATATACCAGACCAAGCCACATGTTCTGCATCACGACAGGCGCCTCGGGATCGCAACAAGATTCACCAAAGCTCTGCAGGTCATGTTGTGAAAGAAGAACGTGCTTGCTGAGTTGCATCGTTCTTGCACTTGCTGCACTTGTCGATCGTCTCGATAAACACGCAGCCAAACCTGACAGGCTTGAGATGCAGGGGGTGTGGATCCTTCGTGGGTTTCATCGAAGCTTGTTTTCATCCACCCGATGGCGGATGCGCTCTAAGACACCGTTCGGCGTCTGTACAAGCTGCGCCTGAAATCTCCCTGCCCATCGAATATCACGCAACAGAACCGATCAATGGTCGACAGTGTTGCATCTTCTCGGTTGTGGCTGACTAGCATCCCCTCAACGATGCCCAGAGCTACGCTCAAGAAGATTCCTCAGGAGTCCCAAAGGCATCACCGAGCCCGAATATCAACCCTACTTTGGTCACAGAGCAGAGTTTCACAATGTTTCACATGCTCAGTGCCTCTGCAAGTTGCTCAGATTCGAAGTGCAACAACTGAGTACTAAGTGCCTGCAGCAGCAATGCTTCCGGTCCTTGCCGCAGGAATAAGCCTGTGCTAGCAAGGCAGATCCAAAAGCTACAACTGCAATTAGAAGGCACCTTGTTATCCTGCACAGAACAAGAGCACTCTGCCTCTCTGAGCTCGCAGGTATTCAAGCTCTTGGTCTTTTTCCAGGTCTGCGAGCCAGGGATGATGGCGTCCTCCTGCAAGGCGTCGGAGCCGGGCCAGCTGAGACCAGATGCATGGCTTCCGTCCTCTCTTGGGGGTGCCGAATCGGCAAGCGACTGCTCTCCTGGATCTGGCCCCTGGGAAGATCGGCTCTAGATCAAGAGCTTTCAATGCATGGAAAAAAGATCACGGGGCCAGCCTTGGAAGAAGGAGGCTCCTGCACAGGACTGGGCTGGGTCTGCAGAATCACGGTTTGTTTGGATTGCCGGGATGGGGGGCAGATAAACACAGGGAACCTCGCACTTCTCGTTCTGCACGTTCCACTCAAGGTATCCACTGCAGCAGCACCTGAAATCTGTGCACGAACCCGAGGCTGGTGCAGCTCGAGCGTGCAGCTGTTGTTTGAAGCGGCTGCACCCACCGCGTCAGGAAGCCGGAAAGCACGATGCCCCGCCCTCATCGATAGGTGCTCCACTCGCGCGATTACTGCGTGGAGCTTTCAACAGCAATGAACATGGTTTTGCCTCTACGACGGCGAGACAAAGCTTTGCCGTCAAATTTCAGTGTTCACGCAGCAAACACGAGCTCGGGCATGTGTTACAGAAGGGTGATCTGTAGAGAGCGGTCCACACGAGTAATGGATCCAGTTGCCAGCGCTTCACCGTCAATTAAGCCAGTCAGTATTCTCGCAACTTGGTCTGCAGAGGAACACAGGACGAGTCTCCTTATTGTCTAGCAAGAACAAGCAAACAAAATGACAGCATACCTTTCACAAAAGTTGAAAAATAGAACTGGGAGAAATTTCGGACAGCGGTCATAACGTTCTGCATCGACAAGAATGCCAAAGGATCAAAGATGCTTCAAACCGACACGATTCTGCCGCCAGTTTCTGCCAAAATTTCGGTTCGACCATTTCTTCCCTGGATACCAGCAGTGTCTGCAAAATGGATTCAACTTGACTGGCGAGTCGACGAGTATCATCGCCTTTATGTTGATCCGTGTAGTTGAGGTTAGTTGAAGATTGAGCTTATAATGTTGGATCCGGCTGTCTCCACTCCTGCATACTTGCTTTCCCCACCGATTGTGCTTGATTTACACTGCTGGTTTCGATGTTTCGCTTCTATGAATCGTTGGCAGGGCGTACACGGTGTCTAGCCGGCGCAGTGCATGCAGCACTTGTCGCATCGAAGCTTCACCTGAGGTTCTAGGTCTCCTTGTTGGAAAGACTTATGCGTCTAGCCACTATGGAAACGCGCGTGACCTTCATGGCGGCATGCACTATGCGTGAGTAGCAACATTCGAACCTTAAATGAGATGGAGTGCTCACTTCCGTTCGGTACAATAAGCTTGGGACCCATTTCCGCACTTATGGGTGAATCCTCAGTCACTCGCAGCGGCTGGCTCATCAAACAATACGCGCGGCACGGTGCAACACGCCTAAGCACCTGACTGCGGCTGTCGCAGGGACCAAAACTGAACAGTGAGTGCAAAATCCGAGTGCAGACATGCAGACATGGCAGCTTTATTCCGGAAGACCTCGAACGATCCGTTGAGCCCTTGATCTGCTTCGCCACGACGCTGGGGTCTTTGTCTCCTTCAAGTACTTGTATCACGGCCCTTGCTCATGAAAAACATCCGCGATGCAGACAGGTCCTTTGGCCGACCGGACGCATGTGTGCCCCTTCAGAGATGAACCAACGTCGCAGCAGCAGTGGTTCCTGGAGTGGGCAACGATCTACAAAAAGACTGCGTCCGAAGCAGGAAGATCCCAATCTACGGTCAGTTATGTCCAAGCGGCTCGCTGCAGGGATGCGCCTAAGCCGACATTCCAAAAGATTCTGAGGAGACGTTGAGAGCAAAGTCAACAGGAAGCAACTGTCCATTCGAGGTCAAGTAACATTCCTTTGCAAGCAATCTTCCCACCTGCATGTGACAAGGCAGACACGAGCCCCTTGCATAACCATCTGTATGTCATGTAGACCAGCCTAAGCGAAGCCACTGCTAGAGTAGAAGCGAGCCTTATCCGTAATGGTAGTGCAAACCTGATGCTGCACCTTTCAAGCACCTTGTAGATGCAATGTTCTCGTGGACAAAGCTTCACCAGCAGGAAAGGTGGCGATCTCCCAGTTCACGTTATCCCTGCACATGCCCCTGTGCACTGTACGGTTCGATCACGAGTAATCGGAGAAGTACATTGAGTCGCCAACGCGAGCACCCTGATCGATCTACAGTCTATCCGCTCATCTCAGTTACTCAAGGGTGCGCACTTATTGCCAGAACGAGATGTATTCAATGTCTGGGAATCACTTAATGAAAACTCGTCCGGAAGTCACCTCATCATAGTGCTATGGTAGAGCAGATCTCCGCCCTCTGTCACCACTGTCTGGGAAAACTACTTCAGTAGTCAAAAAGCGCTTTTTGGTGCTTTCCCACTGTGTAAATTTTCTCTGCTGTGACAGAGTCGTGGCAGCGGATGAGCACTTCCAGTCGAGCCTGTTGGAGCCGGGGATTGGCTCGTCCATGCCAACCGGTGCATCCTTCCCCACGTTTGAACACAAGGGTTTTTTGCCCAGCTTGCAAGCCTGAGCTGACGCACGGCATCCTGGCGCAGCTCCGCATATGGGTCTTCCTCTGAGTCGTCCGGTGGAGCTTGGTTTGCTGGCCCACTTCCTGGAATCCGTGAATCTAGAGATGGTGAGCTGGACGTCGACAAGCCCCGGCCTATCGTGGCAATCGTGGCCTCCTTGCTTTTTCCTGGCACGAAGCGCAGTGATCCCAGTCTGCTGCCCTGCTGCCCTGCTGGCCCTGCTGGCTCTGGAGGCGACCTGAGGAAGCAGTTCCCTTCTGGCACGGAGCGTCCTGCGCTTGGCAGAGAAGAGCCCTCGAAAAAGTTGCCCTGGCCTTGAGTCTCGCATCAGGCTTTCATGGATCGCAACACAAGCCAGCAAAAGGCATCGATGTCTTTGGGCCGGTGTCCTGCGATCCTTTCGTCTGTGTCTGTGATCCTTGCGCGTAGCCTGGCACATTCCGTGAACCCGATGCCGGAGGCGAGGATAAGATTCACTGACCTGCTTCTGCGGTTCCATCCGCCGGGGTGGTCTTCTTCGAGGCTCCCTGGCAGATGCAATGCACTCCTTTGGACACTGACACGGAGCGGCGGATGAATCAAGTACAGCACGGCTCACTCCAGCGGCCGCATCGCGTCTCGCGGCTTCCTCGTCCGCCGCCTGGCGCATTGCACCGAGGCAAGATGCAACCAAACGTCGAAGGCAAGGCCCAGATCGAGTGAGCCTGGACTGCAGCTGAATTGGCCTGAAGCCCAGCGGCCGTTGAACCTGTACACTGGCATGAAAGACGACTGGAGATGTCAACGTGAGGGAGAAGACAGCAAGAAGCTCACGGAAAGGCCTTCGGCTTCGTCCTGACAGCTGGGCATGGCAACTGACAGGCATGCGAAAAAGACCACTGAGGCCCAGACGTTCACCTCTATTCGCGCAGGTGGCCCCGGTGGAGCAGTATCCCAGGCACCGAGGTCTTTAAAGGAGTCTTGCCAGGCTTCCCAAGTGTACCTGGGCTCGGAATCGAAAAACACATCATTTCCATAGTCTTCGTCATCACCATCATGAAAACACATCACGTGACAAGACCTGAGGCACAAATGAATTCGTTGCAGCTGGACGTGGGACCAAAATAGACAAAAGCAGCAGTCATGCGGTGAGCTCCCGGCAAGTGATTGTCCGGACCACGTCGTCGTTCCTGGATGAAGCGCAAGGTGTTGGCTGGGATGCGAAACCATCACCGCGTCCTTGAGGAACGCAGCATCCTCCCACATGGACTTCCCTCAGATGACACTGCAGACGTGAGTTGACCGCCGTGCAACTCATGCCGCAATACATAATATAGCACCTGGCACTGAAACCCTAAACCCGGAACCGGCAATCCATCATGCCAATGCTATCACCCGTCCTGATGACGTACTGAATTCTGTTGATGTGCATTGCCAACAAGAAGGCTTGAAGGCCAGCTTTCCTTACCTGGAAACCACCCGGACCCCATCACTCGGACCAAATTCCTGAGCTCCCCTGCAATGATCGTTTTTGAAAATTTTGTGAAACTCCTGCAAGCAACGACTGTTGCTTGGGTGAGCTGCTGCGTCGTTCAGAAGGTCCTCCTTGGTTTTCATCTCGCCCGTCCTCAGGGGCCTTCTTTCCTGAAATGACACACGGAAAAGCTAGTATTCACAACATGAACTTGTCAGTGTCAGCCTTGGGGTCCGTTCCAGCAGCCATCACTACCTGCCCAGAGGAGCTTGCTACCCCTAAAGTCTTGCCACCTTCTACATCCGGCTTGGCAGTGTTGGCGCGGCATCTATGCAGATGCAACTGGCGGGCAGAGGCTTACGTTGTTCAGTCGTCGGTGATGTCCTGCTGGAGATGCCCGACCAACGTCTACGAGACTGGCCCTTGACTTTGCATTCCTTGCGATGAACAAGCCCGACACCGCATTGATTGTTACAAGTCGAATCATTGGAAAGCAGGTTATTGCTATTTCCTTACTTGATTCCCTCCTTTGCGACTTGATCTCGTCCTCCTTCAGAGACTAAGGCTTAACAGCTTACTCCCGCTAGTACACCAATAGTTAACCGCGACTGTCTGGTGTGACAAAAACCTTATGCACCAATAGTTAACGGGACTGTCTGGTGTGACAAATACCTTGCACGCCTTCTCCTCCACTACGCCTACCCATCCTTCTGACTCCCTCTTCTCCTCTTCGCTGCCCCTGCTGCTACCTTCCATCGCTCTTGCTGTAGCTTGCCGCTGTCCCTGCAAAGACAGAATGGACCTATGAACAAAGCCTTGCCCAGGCTAGGACACACGTTTGAGCAAACACGGTCGTAAAGGACCGGGAACACGACCACAGTGTCGTTCACGAACAGAAAACGCACCCCGAACTTCTCATCCATGCCGCAAAGCCTGCTCGTGCTTGAAGCCTCGGCAGTCGCATGCACGGGCTTCTTGCGAGAAAAATCCGGACTGATACTGCTGCATACCGTAACGTGATCGGGGACCTGACTTTGATGTCGATGGTGCCGCGCCTTCGAGGAGCTCGCTCCCCACAAGTCCTTCTCGGTGGTAGGTCGCTCATGCGTAGTGGCATGAGGCAAACAGGGAATGATGGGCATGAAGGGTATGGAAAAAGTGTCCTGCTTAACTTTTGATACGGAAGTTTGTGGCTTGCACCATACAGCCAAACAGCCCCGTCCAGGAAAGAGGAAGCTCCAAACCATGAACGCGGGTCTCCGTCTGCATGCAAGCTTGCCTGCCACGGAAACAACTGCCCACGATCCAGATATCATTGTCAGTTGTGTATATATATATATATCAGTTACTACGATCGCAGACGCTCGGTACCCTCACTGAACAGACGATCGGCGATCGCACCTTTTTCATGCGACCGCAACGTGGGAGTCGGCCACAAGTCGGATCATCAAAATTTCACTTGATCTTCACAAGTCCGATCGGACCCCCGATCACCGAGGGGTGCGCCATGGCATTCACCACAGACCGCAACATCATCCGATCGGACACATCACACAAGCGATATTCCCCGCGAACAAAATCAAAAGTCTTCGATCAGATCCTCGGGCTCGGGTGAAGGCTCTTCGATCGGGTCGTCATCGAGAGGAGCCGCACCGAGCAGATCGATCATCTGCCGCTCGGCCACCCGAAAGGCCTCAGAAGAGGCAGCTTTGGCCTTGGCGCGAGCAGGAGCCGCGCGACCAGCTTTGTACGCCGCGATCTGGGCGGGGCTGGGCGGCGCTTTAGTCTGCGGAGTCGAACTTCTCGTAGGCACCATGATCTCGGTACCGGGAGGGAGCTCCGCATTGGGCGGCAGTAGATCGAGCCGCCGAGGTGACTGCCCGGGAACCACGTAGTAAGCAGGACCTGCGATCTGCACATCAGGCGGCACTTCATCGAGCGACCTGGGAGGCTGTCCTGGAACCACGTACTGAGCAGGCTCGGCGAACATCGGTCTTCGCTCAGCTGGAGGCGCGCGAGCTTGACGAGGCTCTCCAGCTTTGGGATCCACATAAAAGATCGGCTGATCATAACCTCTATTCGGAGCAGCCTTAGCCGGCGGAGCCTTTGGCTGCGGCCGCTGAAAAGGAGGCCGACCGGCGATCTGATCCCAGTTCAGGGGTGACGATCGCGATCACGATGAGCCGGCGGAGGCACCCAGGGGATCCTTCTGCAGAAATGGCACATATCAAAGCGACGATCGCAAGCCGTGCACAAAAGAGTGCGTTGATTGGGAGCCCACTCTTCGCGGGGGACCCGAACGGCTACGTAACATTCGTCGCTGCCGTCCCCGTCTCAGAAGCAGCCGGTGAACAGGCCGCAATCTACGCAGGGACGGCAGAGCTGCTCTGTGTCGCCAAAAGCGAGCGCTTGAAGGCCAACGTCACCGCGAGGATCCCGCATACCGAAAAGAACAGATAGGGCGGAGAGGGTGGGATTTTTCGGTATGGCCCGATCGGCTATCGCCAAAATGGCCACGGAAAAGAGAGATCACGTCTGTTCCAACGATCGCGAAACTGATCTCCTAATTCCTACCCACCAGACCGATACTTAGGAGACCAGTTACTACGATCGCAGACGCTCGGTACCCTCACTGAACAGACGATCGGCGATCGCACCTTTTTCATGCGACCGCAACGTGGGAGTCGGCCACAAGTCGGATCATCAAAATTTCACTTGATCTTCACAAGTCCGATCGGACCCCCGATCACCGAGGGGTGCGCCATGGCATTCACCACAGACCGCAACATCATCCGATCGGACACATCAGACAAGCGATATTCCCAGGCCCTCAAACTCCTTTCGGAAAGTCCGAGAGGACAGTGATCCAACCACACATCAGACCTGTAGCGACATCACCACGAGAGGGGTTATCCGCAGGGTTCGAATCGGTCGGTACCCGATCGAAATAGACTGAGCACCTAAGCTCCAGAACAAGCTCCCAGAAAATTCCTACGAGCTCGCAGACGTCCTCTTTTGCAGAGTAGCCTTTGATCAAAGCTGCCTCCACAGGCTCAGAATCGATAAAGAGGAGGACCAGCTTTCCACGGATCTCTTCCTTGAAAGTCTGTATCGCAGCGACCGCGGCTAAAAGTTCGATCATGCAAATCTGGGTCTTCCGGGGGAACCATCTCGACATGATCTGTCGTGACACCCCCGAGGCGAATTGCCTAGGCTGATCGTCCCTAGTGAACATCACCCCTCCAATCATCTCAGAAGAGGGATCCTTGGGGTTCGAGCTCGGCGCCGATCCATCCGTGAAGATCACCACGTCGGACTTCCGCGGCCCTGAACTGGGGATAGGCCTCGGAGGCCCATGCATCACGAGCGTCCGCCACTTGTAGAGGGAGTAGAGGAGAGCAGGCGACAGGCTCGTGCTGACCGTCTTCCGGGAGTACTGCCGCTCCGACAGAGATCTCAGAAAAGCTCGGCCGATCTTTCCCCAGAGCTGAGAGGCGCCGAACATTAGCTTCCCTCTGAGCTTCCCGGCTTGGCCAGGAGACAGCTCTTCGTGTTCCAGAATCGCCGAGATCTCTTCGAAGAGCTCCTGCTTCCTGGACTTCTTAATCTTGAGCAAGTACTGATCGAGGTCGTAGGTCACGCCCAAGATCGTGGGATCAGAGCAAAGCTGGAGCTTCTGCTGATCAAATCGCGCCCCGAGCCACCAGTGGACCTTTTCGGCAAGCGCGAACGCACTATCTGCCGTGGCCTGCGGCTCGAAGCCGTACTTGTCGTCGTAGAAGTTGAAGCCAGCCACGATGAACAGGCGCCTTAGAATGTCAGTAATCGCAGCCGAGCGGCGGTTGTAATTATATACGGCCGAGACCAAGCCGAAGGAGTGCCCGACCATCACAAAGAAAGCCACCTTTGCCGTGGCCGGATCCTTCAGAGCGACCACACTCCACTTGCGATGGGCCGGGGAGATCGGTACCTGCCGATAGGCCCGCCGCTCGTCCAGAACCCAACCACGTAGCGGGGACTTCAGTAGCCGCGAACGCAGCCACTTGATCACCGCCACGTTCGCGTCCGTCGAGGGGAGTTCGAGTTTCTCGGTGACGATCGTCGCCATGTTGATCCCATTTGAAGTAGCACTATCAACTCCCCTGACCTTGTTCTCTTGGACCACTTCAAAGCGCTGAGTAGGGATCCAGTGATCATCGCCCACAAACTCCGAGACTTCGGCTTCGTCGAAGAAGGGACCGATCGCCGACCCTTCTCGAACATCTTCCATGGTCCCTTCCCAGACCTTAGGAGAGTGCTCGGTAACCGGAGATCTCCGGATCGCACTTAACACCTTCGATCGAAATTCCCAGGCCCTCGAGCGAAGGGCATCAACCGAGAGGTGTTCCGCATGCGGTCTGCGGTCAGGTTTCCATCTGTGCGAAGAGGCGATGTCGCCGACGATCGGCATGCCAGCCATGATCTGATCCACCAGGTCGACGTCGCTGCATTTGGCCGCATCCATGAGCTCTCGCCAGAGGGCGACGTGGAAGAACTGACCCATCTCCAGTGGACGATCGTCGGGGGCGCCGCGAAGAAGACGGCGCAAATGCTCATCTGGTATCTGCTTGAGCAAGGTATCAGAGGACGGGAGCAAATCATGAGCTCGCTGTTCCCAATGTTGCAGGAGAGAAGCCCGACGATCGCGAACTTGAGCAGGATCACGGACAATCTGCTCAAGGACCGCCAGAAGATCTTGGTCGATATCCGCATCCTGCGTGAACGGGTGTGTGGCTTCTAAAGCGAAAGCGATCGCTTCGCCCGGGTGCATTTCAGTGCCGATCAGCGGAGCCACCACAGACTTCTTCATCTGGTAGCCCGCGGCGACTGCCTTCTTGCCAGCCGATCGTTGGCGATGCTCCTTGGCTTTGACCGGGGCACCGTGGGGCCGTTTTCGATCGGAGTCCGGGGTCTCGAGCGCAAACGTGAGAGTCTGCCAGGACTGATCAGCGTGATCACCTGTGTGCACCGGAGCCGGCTGGAAGCCGAGCTGCAGGAGCTGCTCGAACTCATCGGACGGAACCCGATCGACCCCTTGCACTGAGTACACCGCGAGGACCACCCGAGTTCCTTTCCAGGACAAGGTTGCACGCAGAGCTTCTTTGGCATTGAAGAGGATCTTGTTGTCGACGAAGTCGGTGTTGAAGCCAGGGATCGAGCGTCCCTCGATCTCTCTCACGTCTGGCCCGAGCGGGTCCTCGATCCAGAGCCCGCCTCCTTCGAACGATCCGAGCTTGAAGACGATGTTCGGGATCGGTTCGTTGCCCGAGTCACGGTGAGGTTCCGCCTCTTGATCGTAGAGGACAGCGAACGACGTGAAGAGCGCCTCAGGAGCCTGCTGGGCGATGTACTTGGTGATCGCCTTGATCGCCCACGGCCAGGAATGGCAAGACGATCGAAGTCTCGTGAAGCCTCCATGTCGATAGGCTCCTGCGAAGAAAGCTCCACCCCGTTCGTCGGCAGCCTTGTGCTGACCCTGAACAGGAAGCTCCATCGTCATCTCGAGGATTTCTTCGCGTAGCAGGGGAGCCTTCTTTTGCAGGAGAGCTTGCGCGCGGGACTCCAGATCACAGCCCCCTCACGCGCCAGAGAGAGTGAGGTGAGGATCACATTCAGCTTCAGTGGGGGCCGATCAGTGGTTACCGATCATGGCATGCGGCTCCCCACAGACCATGCACAGGTGCTTGAAGCGACAGCTGTCCCCGGAGACGCACCCGAGCGAGGAGTTGAAGTAGTGGCACCGACAAGCGCCCTGGACTTTCTTGGCCGCATCGGCGATGAGCTTCCACTCCTTCTCCGGGATCCGGTTGTCGCGCTTGAGCTTCTTGTTGGGATCCTCCTTGACGATCTTCTTAGGCGGATCGTCCTTGGAAGGAGTCTGCAGCCGCTTCTTCTTCTTCCCCCCTCGAGTCCTCTTGAACGGAGTGTGGGGAGGAGGAGGAACCTCATCCTCTTTGACCTGATCAGGGTTGTTTGCGAGCTGCAAGCGGTTCTGCTCCATCTTCGAGAGCGTGGCTGAAGTACGAGCGTCATTCCACAAGTATTTGTGGTTGGTGAGCACCTCGACCAGGGCCTGCGAGAACGAGATGTACGTCGACCTCTGTTCGGACAGCAGGCGGAAGATCTTCTTCCGTATAGCTCGATCCGCTGCCATGAGGAAGGGCAAACCCGGGCATTCCGAGCGGAACTGCTCCAGTTCCTGCAAGTACTTCAGAGGACCTTCAGCGCGTGAAAACGCAC